TTCTCCATGGTTAATTATACTCTCTGAAATTTTCTCGGATTTTTCGGAGCTCAACTCTTAATTTCAATAATACAAAGAGCAGTTCAGCAATTATTTAAATATTAAATTAATCATTAAATGATCTGATTTTAATTTTGTTAAATACGTTGAGTGTCCAAGTATTTTCAGGATTTTTCTTGAAATCATTTGAGCATTGGAAGTATTTTTAACAATTCAAAGATCATTTCAGTGATTATTTTAATTGGAAAAAGTTTTTAAATCCTCTCTGTAACATCCTGAAAATTCAAGACAATGAAAATCACGAAAATTTCAAACTTTTTAAAACTTTTGCATCATGCTGGTTGTTATGATTGCTATTGCTTGCCAAACCGTAAATGATCACCAAGAAAGTAAAGAAAAGAACTACATTTAAGCAATAAATATGATTTGCGGGAACATATTTAATCCTACAAATAATTATGCACAAGATATTAAAATCAAATAAAAGAAAAGTTATTATTAACCTATTTTATCAAATATTAAAATATTTGAATAATGTAGGTGGGTGCCATAATATGTGTACACATGAAATGATGATCATTCAAATAAACTGAGCTCTCTGTATATATAATAGAATTACGGGAGTATTTAATTCGATATGTAGATCGATATTGCACCAAGTTCCTAATTGCATTTAGTAGTTGCAAGATGTGAAACACGATCAAAATCAGAACGAGAAATCCCACTAAGAAGAATATTTCGTGCTTTACAATTGTTTTCAAAATCAGTTTTCTGGGCAACAGTTTCAATACGGCCAGGAATCTCATAGACTGTAGCAACTTTCATCCAGATATCATAGCCTTGAGATGTAATGTAAGACTCCATCTTTTTCTTCCAATAATCAAAATCAACTCCATTGTAAATATGAGGTTTGCTTGAAAACTTTTCAGCCATGGCAACAAATCTAAAGACCAGTAAAGATCAAATAGAAGAACGTGGCTCTGATACCACTTGTAAGATCACACAAGACCAAACAAACCTACCAGAGGGGAGGTGAATGGCAGGGAAAACCAAAAACCCGAAAATCTTTGCGCAATTAAAGATTACCCTCGAACGAAGACGATGATGAAGTCCTATTGCCGCCGATCGAACCGCCCTCCTGCCGCCGGTCAGACCGCCAACGCCTCGCTGGTCAAACCGCCCGGACACCTGCGGTCAGACCGCAGCTATCCCACCAGTCAGACTGCGCGTACACCTATGGTTAGACCATCGGGACCCAGAAACACCGGTAGATGACAAACTCGAAGATGTAGATTGAAACTTTTTGACTTTATTGCATCAACTAGTGTTTACAAAGTGCACCAACAACACTCCTCACCAAAATCTCGAACTAAACTCAAAACCCTAACTTGCTCTCAATTCTAGTCTCTCTACAATCGATACCGGGAGGCCTCACCCTCCCTCTCTATTTATACATGAGGTAGGCTGTGCAAAGCCCACGAATCTAACATAACTTAGGACTCCTAACCCACGTAGGAAACCCTCTTTTGCAAGTAAACAACTTATCTCTTTCCTTATCTCAATCAAACTTCCCGAATTCGGACTCCCTTCCAAATTCGACTCCTCTTTCCATACGTACACAATTCCTCTTGTATACCATATGGATTTCTTCATCACCACGTGCATTGTCCTCTAGCCTTTAGTATCCCGCATGATCTCTTGATCCCTGGACATCAACTTCTCCCAAGTTGACTACGATCTATCACCGGCAACACTCTCCCAAGGCCTTAAGCAACACCTGCACATGCAACAACCAAGAAACCATATTCCGAGCCCAAGTTCGTCCCAACTTGACTCACATTAGTATAACAACAGTATCCATACGTATAGAAACTGTCTAGAAGCCAAATACCCGAAGGAAATATCCAAATCCAACAAAACAACCCGAAACCGAACATGATTAGGATCCTGCCGGTTAGACCATTGGGCCGGCCGGTCTGACTGCCAGGGTCAACCGAAACTGCACACTTCACAAAATCAACCATCTCATAAAATCTCCAAATTAACATTAGCAAACCACCAATATTTTCATCACAAAATCTAAATCAACTCCTTGATTCTACATGCAAGTTTGTTAGGCAAGATGTGATGTCTTTTATATATTATCTATTTTACATTTCAGGTCGAGATTCTTAAGCTAGTAGCTTCTGGTGATCATGCAGCTGCTCTCAAGGTAACAGCCGCTCATCAGGGGCCTCCTGCTGCCAGTAACCTGGCTTCACTGTACCTTTGAAGGAAACTTTGGTAACACTGATTCAACCCAGTGAAGATGTATGTACTCTTGGAGGCGGTATCACTGCCTATTCTTGCAAATTCTCGCCAGCTATGACTAATGCTTGTATTTTGTTAGGTACCAAGTCTAATTTGTTTGTTTCATTTATTGTTGATACTGATGGTATTAGACTACAACTTGCATATTATTTGTGGAAGTGCATGAAACAAGCATAATACATTCCCGTGGATAGTAAAGGCAAAGCAGAGGAAATAACGCCTGAATCATGTGATATTTTATCTGTGCTAATATTAGTGTAACTTTCTTAGTTAGGATTTACCTCTCTTACGTTGTTCCTCCCATCCATATGGAAGTGTTCCATCCATTATCTGGATTACTTCACATTCTGTTACTCTTTATTTTGGGCCTGGTTACTGGCTTAGAACTTCTAGGTCTTTTACTTGTTTTAAGTAGTTCTATTTCGTCCATGTTTTTCTAACTAATCAAGGTTGTTGATGTGAAATATTACTTGGTTACTACATATGTGCTTCTGATAGTATTTGGTTCAGTGGCTCTCTGGGTGCTGACTAATTCCCCCTTTTACGTCATGTAAAATTGATGGGTTCATTTCCTTGATAGTGCTGACCCAGTTACCAACCATTCATTATTCCTTTAGTTTTCTTAAAGTAAAAGGTTCCAACCTTGTCTATCATCCAGAACTCCAGATGATCTTTTGATTGCATATATTATGCTAATTTGATACTGTAGGACAATGTTTACGTTGCAATTTGCAATACAAGTGCCAGTTACTGTGCACAAAATGGATAGCCAATTAGGTAGGAATTCAGCCACCAACTAGTAGGGTGAAATTGAATGATATTGTAGACTTATGTATGTTCTCTTTTGCAGATTGCAGGTTAGCAGGAGGCGGTATTGAAGAACCCCAGTGAATGAAGATAGTAAGAACATCACTTCGTACACAAAGTGAATAGTTTAGGCTTCAGATAGCGGACGCTACAACGTTCATGGGTATTCAGCTGAATACCCATTTTTTTTACAAAGTAGCTATACCCCATATCATCAAGTATATCCTGCCCAAATGGTTGGTGGGTCAACAGGTGCTAGGTTCGATTCCTAGCTTCCTTCTCGTTTTTTCTCGATTATTCAATCCTGTTTTTGGATTTTTCTTCCATAAGCTCACAATATTTTTTAAGCATACATCGATTATATTTCAAAATCATGTTAACCCAACAAGATAAATGTTTTCATTCAATATTTTTCTATAGTTTATAACTTTTCTAATTAAGAAATAGTATTTGCATTGATGATATTAACCATATTTTTTAAAAAACAAATTCGCCATGTAAATTTTTGAATACCCACCTTCGAAATCCTGCGTCCGCCACTGGATGTACAAGGACCTTTTTGAAGAATGATTCTCTAAAAAAGATTGATCCATGCATCTGTAGGTAGTCACAATATATCCAAGGTTCTTACAGGTCAATGTGCTAATGGATCATCTCAAATCACAACATAGCTTTGCATTTGATGGCATTTCAGTACATTTATTTTGTGATCGACGGCACAAGAAGATAACACTCGCATACACTTTGCATGTGTATTCGTGGGAGGTGTAATAGCAGTGATAACAGCAATATGATGTTTGCAGTGGGATAGAACATGTGTATACACTCCGATGTTCTGTTTCTCTTTGTACGTTTAGAATTTTCTTCCCTCAGTATTTATGTCATAACTAGCTAACCCTACCAGATAAAATGTTAAATTTCATATGAGGCTGTGGACCTTATCTTGTGAGAACCTGAGAGATGATACCGATCTTAAATCAAATAGTTGAACTGATGCCAACATGTGTAATTGGTTGGTTGCTACCCTGTCAACAGTTAACAATGTGGAAAATTGTAAATATGTTAGGTAAAAGTGAAAACAAATAGTTCGAACATAAGGAGAGAATATTTTGATTTGCTTAACACTGGGCCTAGGCTAATGGCAAAATACATTTTAGTTTTTTCTTAGAAAAATTAAAGATATACTTAAGCGAGGTGAGATGAGAGGGCGATTAAATAAAATGAAAAGAAAAAAAAAGAAAGGAAGTAAGAGCAAGAAAGCAAATGTTGATAATAAAGGGCACAGTAATTCTTATTTTCCCCATACCTACACACAGTAAGGCAAGTATCAACTTGGGAAGAATGCATGATCAGTTGATCACTGTAAAAAGGAGGCCGTTATCACACACACCAGTGACAAACGTGTGGTAAATGTACCGTAACAGTAACCTTTTTATCACCGGACACCGGGGGCGGGGGAACAAGTACTGAGCAGAGCAGAGTAGAGCATAACACACATCCATCTTCTTGACAACGAAGAAAGAAATCGAATATTGTGACAGGCAGTAGGAGGCCAGGTGGACGCTCCAGATTGTTTCTCCAACGATCGGAAGGCCCATCGGGGTTTCGTCACGGCCACGGCGATAATTCAAAGTTTAAACTGCACAAGAGGTTATAAAGTGCTTTTCCTTTTGGCAAGGAAATGAGAATCGAATCGTATGGCAGGCAGTACGTGGCAAGAGATGGACGTTCTAGATCGTCTCCTCCAGTGATCGGAAGGCCCATGGAGGTTTCGTCGCGGTCACGTCGATAAGCTGCAGACTGCACAGCTAAAGTGCTTTTCCAGAGTCTGCATTACAGTAAATGAGAAGGAGAGGGCGGGAGAAATATCCAGCTTCCCGCCCTCGACCCAGCCTATAAACTGGCTACTCATCCCTACCTCTCTTCTTGCTCCAATTCGTAAAAGCCACCATAGTGTAGTGCTCATCCTCCATCCACCCAAGTCCATCGTTCCGCCCACAGCTCCACACCATCAACCATGGTCCAACCCCCCGCCGCCGTTGTCCAAGCCCAGCCGGTTTCGGAGGTCGAGGCGGGAGATCCCGTCCTGGTCCGGGATTTCTTCAGGCTTCTTTCTCTGGGGTCGGAGGCATCCGTTCCGCGAGACGGTGTCGTCTGCTGTTACATGGACGTATCCGCTCTGTTCCTGTACTACAGGAACATGAGCGGCGTTCTGGTGCTGGTGCCGCATGTCCGTCCGATGTGCGACGCCCCGCTGATGGTGCAGCAGCTCCAGAAGATGGAGATGCGGTCGGATTGGGAAATCCCAAATCTGGCCGCCCTCAAGGACGTCGCGACCGCCTCAGATGCTCTTGGGCGCATGGGCAAGATGATGCTGCAGGCGCGCCGCGTCCTCAAGACTCTGAAGAATTACCCGGATGGCGAGGAGGGATTGGAGATACTCTTCTACAACACTCTTCTGGGGGAGGCGCTCACCAGGGCGCGCGAGGCCATACCAGCCGTGATAACCTCCGCTGACCTGCTCGTGTTCGACAACGGGGAGGTGCGGCTGATGGCGCTCTCCCTCGCTCACCAAGCGATGAGCACCGTCGAGGCTTGCCTCGGTGCTGTCCACGAGGGAAAGGGCTTGACTGGGCGTGAGATGCACCGCCTCGTTAAGAAGGTCCTTCGCCCGCTGAGCTACCTCAGGAAGGTGAAGGTCATCGACCTCCCAAGGTTCAACCCCTTTGACGTCTGAGTTCTGTCTTGGATTTATCTTTATCCTGCAATCCAGCTAGTTTTTTTTCTTTTGAGGGGAACTAAGAAGTGGAAACAAGAAATGTTTGAGCTAGTATGTTTGCCTTTCATGTCTCGTTCTATTTTAGTTGTGATCCTGAGTTATTGTTATCAAGAGTGCAAGATCTTCTGATATTTATCGACCTATCTCAATGGAAACTTTATTATTATGTGCCTGCATTGTGATCCTCTTTGTTATACTTTGTTTGAAGTATGAATGCTGAATGCATTTTAATTATGCCAATGTGCTGACCCTCTTTTCTATGAAAGAGAAATTGCATCAATGATCAATTTATATTAGTTCCTTGTTAATAACTGTTCTGTTATCCCCTATTCTAAAAAAAAAATCAACTGTTCTGTTATATCTTGTGGATTGGCCAATGATGAGATGTTATTTGCAAGCACTCCGATAATTTGAAGTGCAATAGCGCAAAATGTTGTGAGTCCTGGAACTAGCTATTAATGCTAGTTTCAAACTTAAATGCTACATTTCTCTATGTTTTTCTTGGATAGTGCAAAGTTTCTGGTTACTTATGATTGTTTTCTTTGGTTCAAACAGTGTAAAATTCCATCAATTTCCTAAAATTTCGTTCCCTTATATTTGTTTTGATGTAAGTGTAACTGGCACACCGACAAACAATTGACTAATGTGTTGTTCTGTTGGTCACCCAATTTCATCAATTCTCTTCACTTTACAAATTTTGAGCCATTAACAAGCTAATTATACTAGCAGTAACTATTACTGTTTTTATTTTGTTCATATGTCTATGTTGTGAGAAATACCAGTGTACTAAAACTAGCTACTTTATGTTCCCTATCACTATAATCAGAAACCACCCACTTTTAGAGCCTTTTTACTTCATGGGGATGATAAATATTAAGTTCTAATTTTATCATTTCGACATACTGAAATGCAAAGATCTGGGCTTATTGAAATCTGAGCTCTTGCCTTTTCATGAATTTGATCATATATTGTTCAGGAAAATGTCTCTGGACTAATGGGGATCACGAGGTGACTAGGACAGTATCAAAGAAGTCTGGGGTCTCATAATTTTTATCAAGTTAACCATAGCATTTCAGTTTGGGGTTCCTCCTTTTCTTCAGCATAACTGTTATGTTTGTGACTTCTCCCTGTTGTTTACACATGCTTCTTCTTCAATTTATCTTCCTAGATGCAGTGGTATATAATAATATTACTTCTCCCTGTTTGCAACTGTAATTTCATTGGTGCATGAAAACTTAATTTAATTTTTTTTCCTGAGACTTTTTATATACCACAGATTTGGAGATTAATGATTGCACTCTTAGATCTGTTTCTATATAGTGGTTAATAGCTAATTTGGGAAAGATGACGTGCCATTTCGTGTGCTCAATTGGTTTTGCACTTTAATTTGTGCTTCACAATAAAATTGTTCAAGTTATTCTGAAATTCAACTTTTTTTTTCAGTGTGAAATTTACATGCTTAATACTATTCGATACCAACCAGTGATCAACTAAACTCCACCGATATAGCATACCATTTTTGTTTCTTGCATATTTTCCTAAGAATAACTTTAGACACTCCTTTAGATACCAAGTGATGTAAAAAGGTTTGAAACTGAACCGTGGATCATGCATTCCCATTTGTTACATTTAGTTTCATTTTCAGTGAGCCAATGATGATCCTGAAGTGTTGCTGCTGTTATATCCCTTAATATCATGCAGATTTGTACTGGCACTTTCTGTTTCATTTCCTTTCATGTATTTATAGTATTGGAGTACCCATGGAAAGAACCATTTTTCCAGATGGCAAGTTTGGATTCCTCACTGTACAGGATGCTAATCAATGCATTATCAAGAAAAATGACAAGAAAACATGATACTAAGTTTGCAAAAGATTTCTCGATGTTATTCAAGGCAAAAATTTTCCTGTGCAGGTTATCCTTGTGGAGTTCTCATCTGACTCCTGATTTGGTAGCTAGAATTTTGGTAATCGTTCTATGATTTTGATTTACAGTTTCTGAGGAATTTAAATAAATTTATTAATGTGCTTAGTGATTTGTGTTGACGTCAGCCTATTTTCTACTGTTCTCTGTGACAAAGGATATGTCATGCAATTTTCTTTGTCAAGATTACCAGGGTTCTACTTTAGCCCACTTCGTTCCATGGCTACGGTACTGGCATCATTTTGGAGGCGACGGTAACTAGGGATGTAAGTGGACTTGTCCGTGAACCCACTTGTTGGCAAAATTTCTATGTAACTCGCGGGTTACCTATTAATTTGACCTGTAAATGGGTTTATGGATCGACCCACTTGCATATCTAGATGTAGCAAACCGGACCACAAACCGAAAACCTATGAATTATCATTTATTTGATCTATAAGTGAACTCGCAGGTCGGCCCGCTTGCATCCTAACGGTAACTCGATTTTCCGTTCTATAATCGCCTCAATCTTCTAAATGTCCCAACATTATGAATTTGGATTTTAGAGTATATTGACTTGCTTCTGGTGTCCAGGATGACAACAAAATATGAGTCAGGATTTGAACCAAGCATGCATGTAAATTCCCCTAGTTTCCATGGTGCTTAAATATGCCAAAATTTTCAAAGTTCAAGGATTTTTCAACGCTCACAGGTTCTTTGCAACAGTACAAGATCTGAAACACAACCTAGTTTGTGTTTTTTTTTATAGATTTAGCTTAGAATGGAGCCTTGCAAGAAATTGGTCTGCCTTCTGATATTTGTTGGTGAACTTGTTTTGCTTGTAAGATCAACCCAAGGATGACAATTGTCTGCACATGTTGAACCATAAATAATGTAACCCAATGAATGAATCATATTGTTTATTCGTTTATCTACAACATTTGCGAGGCACAAGAAAATCTTTTGCATTTCACTTTAGTCAGGTTTGGAAGTGTTTCATAAAGGATCAACAATTGCTAGTTTTGCTTTGGTGGGCCCCAAGATCTGCATACTCATCTCCTACACCTGAAGTTCTATTTGTTGGGAGCCTTTCCTATGGTTACTGATGAGAGGAGAATCCGCACACCTAAATGTATTTTCCTGAAAGACAAGTTGATACGAATTCCAAAGCTTGTACTGAATTCTTTTACTTAAGCTCCATATGAAGTAGTAATGAAATAGTTTGAAACTGCGTATATATGCCCACATGCAGCACTGGTAGGACAGTGATTCATTTGTTTTATTAGGTTTGATGAATTCCTTGATAGATGCTACACTACTTATTTCATTTTGCTGCTAAAAGTCAGGTTCATTCGAATATCCTGTTCAACCTCATTTTCTATTCGCTCAGTTGTTTGTACGTACTAACTCTGAAAGAATATGCATGGTGGGATGGTTTAGGTTTGAACACTTCCTTTCATTCAGGACTTCATATATCGATCGCTTATATTTTACTAACCTATGTTGAAATGGACATATGGTGAGTCTCTCCGACGACCAAGCTGAAAGGTCACTACTCATCTACTATCTTATCTCCCTTAATATAAGGGATTTTGACATTTTATTTGCACTGTTTGACCACTCATCTTATTCATTTTTTTTTAAATATAAAAAAAGAAAAATTGTGCTTAAAGTACATTGGATAATAAGTCACAAATAAAATAAATAATAATTCAAAATTTATTGAATAAGACGAATGGTCAAACAACGTAACCAAAATATCAAAATCCATTATATTAGGGGACAGATGAAGTATTGCCTATTGACTGCAATTTCATAGTTGATCACACTGGACCTTCTTGTGGTTGATATTTATGGCTAGGTGTAATAGTCTAGTTTAGATTTTATTGCTGGTTGTGTTATGCCACTCTTAATTACTGATTTGATAGCTGTGCCAGTAAAATTTTATAAAATTAAAAACATGTCACAGCCGTCACGTTTTCCATCCATCTCTTTTTTTTCCGTTTTATTCCTTCTTTCTCCCATCTTCTTCCTGCACCGACGAGCGTCAAGTGGTGGAGGGACTAGTGAGGAAGTGTTGGTTTTCTCCCCTTTTGAGTCCCCTGAATCCCTCCTCGAAGATGATGCCAATGCACTCGTCAAGGAAGATGACAATCTTGCAGAGTTGGTAGAGTTACCCAAAACCAATCCAACTTTACGGCCTCCAGTTGAACTCAAACCACTTCCTTCAGTTCTTCGCTATGCTTTTCTACATGGTGATACGGAGTCGCCCATCATCATAAGTTACAAATTGATTGATATGAGACCTCTCGACTCACGGCCGTGCTAGAAAAGCATCGCTTTGTTCTAGGCTACTCTCTTCAAGATCTTAAAGGGATTAGTCCGGCTCTTTGCACACACCATATCCCTTTAGATCCTTCTTATGCGTCCCCTCGGGAGCCGTAATGAAGGCTAAACAATACAATGAGAGAGGTCGTAAAAATAAAAAGAGGTCTTGAAACTCCTACACGCCAGGATAATCTATCCTGTGTCATATAGTGAGTGGGTTAGTACAGTTCAGGTAGTGCCTAAGAAGGGAGGAACAACAGTTGTTGAAAACTCGAAGAACAAGTTGATCCCATAACATATATCTTGGGATGGAGGATGTGTATTGACTATAGAAATCTCAATAAGGCTACGAAGAAGAACAACTTCACGCTACCCTTCGCTGATAAAATGTTAGAGCGACTGGCAAATCATTCCTTCTTATATTTCCTTTATGGGTATTCTGGGTATATTGATGGTCTTTAAGTACCAAATCTGACCGTCAAATCCTGCATAAAAGAAAATGAAAGAATACAAAATAGAATATCAAACTTACGGGTAGTGGTTATTACTAACTATTTCCACAAGTCTTGGTAAATATTCGTATGCAGGTGAATTATGGATGAAAACCACCCGCCATGTGAAGAAACACACCTCCGCCCAATCAGATGCGAGTACTCGGATTGGAGGGCCCACAAACCATAGCAAAACCGACATATTTGAGGCCAACCCCCATACACCGTTATGAGGGCCCACAGGACAGTGACTCAAGCGAGAATGGGGGAGAAAGGCAGTAAAATTGGTTCGACTGATCGCCCCCCCATCTTCCACATGTCGCTTCCTCATGCCTCCCCAATGACGGTTATGGCGGTTTCCTCAGCAGTTACAAACTTTAACCGTAGTCATTTGGAGCTATAAAAGGGGGAGCTCACTTAACTCTCAACACACAATAAAGTGGAGTACAACTCACT